TTCTGCGCCGTATTCTCTCTAGCAAGATCGATCTGCGAGGGTCCAGGGGCCCGACATAGGGCGAGACCGCCCGGCTCGACACGGCGGAGGCGCCAGGATCTCGGGGGACGTCTGGGGGGGAATTCCTCGTGCCGCGCTGGCGCGCCGTCACTTCTGTCTTCGGCGCTCGGGGCTCTCGGGCACGCAGGGCGATGCTGGGGCATCTTGGCGGCCTTGCCAGTCTTGCTTTGGGTCGAGCCTGTCCCCCTACAGACAGGCTTTGGAAGAAAAACTAAACATACTCAACGAAGATTCAAACAAATACTCAAAACAACAACAACAACAACAACAACAACAACAACAACAACAACAACAACAACAACAACAACAACAACAACAACAACAACAATTACTAGCACGTGGGGACACTCCGTTCTCACCAGTGCCAGGGTTTTCATACGACGCCCGCAATACCCCCACTTTGTGGGGGGCCGGTTCAAGCTCTACCACATTTCCAAACGACTCTTCGCCACCACCCACACCCAGCTTCCCGCCCTATGACGTTCGGACACTTCACTTCGTGGCCTGCGGACGACCGTGGCTACTACACTGGCGCATGGGTACAGTGACTTGTTGTGGTAACATTTTCTGGACGCTAGCTTAGTATACGACTTTTCCCCCTGTTCCAACACTGGACACCTGTACTGGTTTTGAAGATTTCGGCGTGCGCGCGCGAAGAAAAAACGAATGTGTCCCGCATGGTATTATTTGACAGGGATGATGGCCCTGGCAGGTGCGCAACCGTTGTTGGCAGAAGTTCGAAAAAGTTGCTCGCAAAAGCCCGTTTGACAGAAATGTTTAAAAAGTGTTGGGTTTCCTACGAATCCGCAAGAGCGCGCGGGATGAAATGTTGACACTTTTTTGTTTGAAAAACCATTGGTTTTTTGATGTTTTTATGTTAAAATCGCTACGAACACTAAGGTTTTGGAAGGATTTCGTCTTGCGCGCGCGAATGTCCACTTTACCTTATTTTTTGCAAGGGATTCAGTTTGGTCATGTTTGAAGTTTGGTCATGTTAGAACAAGAAATGTCCACTTTGCCTTATTTTTTGCAAGGGAAAACCGATCGTAACAACACAACCGGATCCGGACCAACCCGTTTTGCCTGAGACTTCCTCACGAAAATGATGAAAATGTGGCTGCGGCCTAGGCGCGGCGAGGGGGCCGCGCACCAGGGGTCCCAACAATAATTATTCTTTAGAATAAATAATGTTCAACAACAACAACAATTACTAGCACGTGGGGACACTCCGTTCTCACCAGTGCCAGGGTTTTCATAGGAGGCGGGCAATACCCCCACTTTGTGGGGGGGCCGGTTCAAGCTCTACCAAATTTCCAAACGACTCTTCGCCACCACCCACACCCAGCTTCCCGCCCTATGACGTTCGGACACTTCACTTCGTGGCATGCGGACGACCGTGGCTACTATTCAGGGCCCCGCGGCCGACGACGACGGCGTGCGCGCGCGAAGAAAAAAACGAATGTGTCCCGCATGGTATTATTTGACAGGGATGATGGCCCTGGCAGGTGCGCAACCGTTGTTGCAGAAGTTCGAAAAAGTTGCTCGCAAAAGCCCGTTTGACAGAAATGTTTAAAAAGTGTTGGGTTCCCTACGAATCCGCAAGAGCGCGCGGGATGAAATTTTGACAATTTGTTTAAAAAAACCATTGGTTTTTTTATGTTTTATGTTACGATCGCTACGAACACTAAGGTTTTGGAAGGATTTCGTCTTGCGCGCGCGAATGTCCACTTTACCTTATTTTTTGCAAGGGATTCTTGAAGTTTGGTTATGTTAGAACAAGAAATGTCATTTTATATTGTTTTTTTGCAAGGGAAAGCGGGGGGGAACAAAACAACCGGATCTGGATCACATCGTTTTGCCTGAGACTTCCTCACGAAAATGATGAAAATGTGGCTGCGGCCTAGGCGCGGCGGGGGGGCCGTGCACCAGGGGTCCCAACAATAATTATTCTTTAGAAGTAATAATGTTCAACAAAACCCCCAGACCATTCCTCCTGTAGAGGGACACGCCCGACTGAAGTCTTGCTGGTCTCGGCGGGCCGCTTCGCGCAGAGCGTTCTGGCGGCGGCTTGCCTCGATAAGCTCGGATCCCCGGGTCCGGCGGCTCGAAAGCACCAAGGCGGCCAGCTTTTCTCTGTGTTTGGGGCCTTTGGAGCTGGTGCCGGGGCCTGGGACCGTCAAACGCGACCCAACCTGCCCCGAGTGGTCGAGAGGTCTGGGGGCCCGTGTCTCGAAGAGACGGAGGCGCCGGATGCGTGGGGCATGGCCAGGATCGCGGCGAAGGAGGTCTGGGATCGGGCACGCCTGAGACTGCGCAGCGCGTCGGGGGGATGAGCCGCCAGACCGCAGAGGCAACACAAAGACGCGCGCATGCATGAATTCACACGGAGGTCGAGGAAAGACGGGTGTCACGCGAGATGGCGCAGCGGCCTCACGCGGTGGCCTACGCGGGCCGCCCTCTCGGCACGCACACCCTGGAGACGAGGGCGCCCACGCGCGACCTGACGCGGGCGGCTCACGTGCCAGTGTCGGCGCAGACGACCCCGGGCTTTTGTCTCGCTCATCTGGAGGGCGAGAAGACGCACCATGCGAGCGCCGAGGTCACAAAAGGTCGCTCCTGACGCCCAGAGCCAAGGAGGACGACGAGGGGGGCAGGGCCAAGTAAAGGGGGGGGGGGTACCGAACCGGCTCACCGGCGCCAGAGGCGCCCACGTCTTGAAGGAGGGCGCCTCGCAGCAGAGCGGAACCCAGCTGCGCGCAGCAGACTTCGCACGTCCGACCACACAGAGGCCTGGGCCCGCCCTGCGCTGGCGCTCGGGATGAGCTCCCAGACTCGGCGGCGAGCGAGGGGGGGGAAGCGGGAAGGAGGGGGAGGCCTTCTCAGCAAGCGGCGGGGCCTCTCAGAGCCCACCTGGACCTCCGAGCAGACCTCCGTGCCTTCGGGGGGCCTCCTCCCGCCGCTGGTCTCACTCGCGCCCTCCGCTGCCCGGGACCGCCTAGGCGCGCGCGCGCGGACGGCCCCTCTGCCGCGCCGCGACCCTGAGAAGCTGAGAGCTTCGCAGAAGGCCCGAGGCCTCCCGAGCCCTCCGAGGAGGCCCGCCCGCCCCCTTCTCGACTGCCCCCCCCGGGCTCGCCGCCGACAGGCCCCTCCCCGGGGCGCCACCCCGACGCCGCCCCCTTCGAGCTGCTCCCTGGACGCAGCCGCGAGGGTCCCCCCCGAAGCGCTAAAAAGGGCGGCCAGGAAGGGGGTCGTTTAGCGTAGCGCATCGTGGTCCGAGGCATGTGCGCGGACGAGGTGGGGGCCAGGGAGTGCACTGACAGAAGAAGACGAAGACGGAGAAGAAGAAGATGCAGAAGAAGAAGACGCCATGAAGTCTGGGATCTGTCGTGGCCCTGGCCCAGCCATCACGCCCACAACCCCCTACTTCCCTCCCCACCTCCTCAAGGCCCCGAAAGTCCTCCCTCCTCCCTCCCCTTTCGGAGAGGTCTGGGTCCTCCGAACTTCTTGACCACCTTGTCCACCTCCGCCCGAATCAGGCTTCTGGCCACTGGCGCCTTCAGGCCCGCGACGACGAGCTTCACGCCGCCGTTCGTGTAGCAGCTCTCCGCCAACAGCCGCCGACCCGGCACACCGCCGAGGTGGAAACAGCGCGCGAGGAGGCCCCTGCGGGCCGGAGGAGGAATCGGCTCGTGTCGGAATCGGATCGAGATCGAGATCGGAATCAAGGTTTGGAGATCAGACCAGACGTAAGCGGACCCCGAGCAGCCCTGGGAGGCCGAAGAGGAAGGAGAATCCTCCTGATGCTCCTGCGAGCGACGAGCGGTCCGTCAACAGTCGTCACCACCCACTGTGGCCAACCGTCCTCCTCATCCTCCCCCTCCACTTCCTCCTCCACCTCCTCCTCCACCTCCTCCTCCTCCTCCTCCTCATCATCATCATCATCATCATCATCAGCAGCAGCAGCAGCAACAGCATCAGCATAAGCATCAGCGTCAGCATCATATCAGCATCAGCATCATCATCAGCATCAGCATCATCAGCAACAGCAGCATCAGCAACATCATCATCATCATCAACATCATCAGCAGCAGCATCATCAGCATTAACATCATCATCATCATCGTCAGCAGCATCGTCATCAGCCATAACCATCATCATCATCATCAACAGCAGCGTCACCATCAGCCATAATCACCAGCATCAGCATCAGCATCATCATCAGCATCAGCATCAGCATCAGCATCGCACCTTCAGCACCAGCATCATCAGCAGAATCATGATTAGCACCATCAAACACAATCATCATAAGCAGCATCATTATCGTCAGCATCAGCATCCTCAGTATCATCAGCATCAGCATCATCAGCATCATCAACGTCAGCATCATCAGCATCAGCATCATCAGCATCAGCGTCAACATCAGCATCATCAGCATCATCATATCATTAGCATCATCGTCAACATCAATAGCATCATCAGAAGCACCACCATCATCAGCAGCATCAGCATCAGCATCATCTGCATCATCATCAGCATCACATCATCATCAGCATCATCATCAGCATCATCATTACCATCATAATCATTAGCATCCCTCCATGTTGTGTTGATCCGGTATGAAGTGCGATGCATATTGCGATATTGTCCTTCCTCGTCCTCCTCATCATCCTCATCATCATCCTCCTCTCCTCCTCCTCCACCTCCTCCTCCTCCTCCTCCTCCTCCTCCTCCTCCTCCTCCTCCTCCTCCTCCTCCTCCTCCTCCTCCTCCTCCTCCTCCTCCTCCTCCTCCTCCTCTTCGTCCTCCTCGTCGTCCCTCCCTCCCTCCCTCCCTCCCTCCCATGGCATGAAGGAAGCTGGTCCTGAGGGAATCGGGCCGAGGACCCCAGAGCCATCCCCCAGGACCAACTCTTCCTCCCGAATCGTACTCTGGCAGTCCTGGGGCCCGTGGAGGGCCTGGAGGGCTTGAAGACGTCGAGAAACCTGTGGCCCCATTTCCCATGGAACCAGTTTCCGTCATGCCCAGGGAGGGAGGGAGGGAGGCAGGGAGGGAGGGCGGGAGGGAGGGACGGAGGGAGGAGGAGGGACCTCCCCCGACTACACGCAAGTTGGCGGCGCGCAGAGAGGGGTAGGGGGAGGGGGGAAGGCTTCTTAGAAGCAAGCCGCTTCGTAGAAGGCGGCGCCCTTACTTATACAGACAAGGCCCGGGCCTTCTAAGAAGCAGGGGTGCTTCTGAGAAGCCTTCCCCCCTCCCCAAAACTCCCTCTGCGCGTGGCTGAGCAAGAGCGACCCTAGGCAAGAGTGACCTTTGGTGCGCGGCTTACAGGGAGCCGCGGGGGGGGGGGGGGACCCCACGCGCGCAAGACGCTGCTGTCGCATCGCGCTCGTCCATCGGGGGACCCCAGCGGGCCCGCACCAAAGGTCACTCCAGCGATTCCAGCGAAAGTGAAGGGGCCCTGGGACACACAAATAAATACACAGAGAGAAAGGATTCCCCACATTTTTCCACATGTTCTGGGTTCTCGTCTTCCCCCCCACTTCCCATATCTTCCCATATGTTCGGGGAAATCGCCGATCCTTTGTGCTTGTGTGCCCCTTTCCCCCCCGAGAAAGGTCGCTCTTGCGAGCAGTCGACCCCCCCTCCCTCCCCCCTCGCTGCTACGTCCTCGGCTGGCCCCGCTCCGCCTCCCGGACTGGGAGCGGCACGCCGTGGGCACCCCTGACCTTCCAGAGAGCTATTTTTTAGCACTGGAGGCCTACAAACCTAAAAGACGGAACGAAACGCCCGAAAACCAAGACGCAGAATAGCTCTGGGATAGGCTTTTTGGTCGGGTGCTATTTTTCAGCCCTCCTGGAAGGTCAGGGTCCTCCTCCTCCTCTCCTCCTCCTCCTCCTCCTCCTCCTCCTCCTCCTCCTCCTCCTCCTCCTCCTCCTCCTCCTCCTCCTCCTCCTCCTCCTCCTCCTCCTCCTCCTCTCCTCCTCCCCTCCTCCTCCTCTCCTCCTCCTCCTCCTCCTCCTCCTCCTCCTCCTCCTCCCCCTCCCCCCTCTCCTCCTCCTCCTCCTCCCCCTCCTCCTGGAAGGTCAGGGACGGGGCCCCCCTCCGGCGGGGGGGCGCGGCGGGGCGGCCAGGCCGCGCGGCGAGGCCGGCCCCGCGCAACCGCGAACCCCGGGCGCTCGAGGGCCCGAGGGCCGAGGCGCGGCGCCTCGAGGGCCCGAGGGCTCGAGGAGGAGGAGGAGGAGGAGGAGGAGGAGGGGGAGGAGGAGGAGGAGGAGGAGGGGAGGAGGAGCGGAGGAGGAGGCGGAGGAGGAGGAGGAGGAGGGGGAGGAGGAGGAGGGGGAGGAGGCTCGAGGCTCGAGGGCTCGAGGCTCGAGAGGCTCGAGGCTCGAGAGGCTCGAGAGGCTCGAGGTCCGAGGCTCGAGGTTCTGGGACTCGGGTCCTCCCCCTGTCGGCGGCGGCGCGGCGGCGCGGCGGGGCCTCGGGCTGCGCGGCGGGGCCGGCCCGGCGTCCGCGTCCTCAGGCAGGGCGCTCCTCGAGGGATCGAGGGAGCTGACGTCGCTTCCGCCCGCCGCGCGCGCCGCCATGGGCTCTCACATCGATTGCAGACACGATGGTGCCGCGATCGTGGCAGGTTTTCAGCTGGCCCTGCACGAAACCTCCCGAGCCTGACGCAGCAGGGGGGAGCGCGGCCATAAAAGGAAGGCTGGCGGAAGCTTCGGGGGCGCCGATAGGGGCGAATGATTAGCCCAGGGGCGGGCGTCACATGCGTTCGCCCGGGAGCCTCGCCGAAGGCATGGACCATCGGCGCCCCTGGATACACGTGTTGCTCTCTCCTGGGCTGTTCGCCCCCATCGTCGCCCCTGAAGGCTGGCCGAAGCAGAGCGAGGGCGCAACCGCCCGCGGAGGCCGATGAAGGGTGGGCGGGCGCAGAAGATGCGCCCTCGAGCGACGGCCGCTCTTTCGGATGCAGTGGCGCACGTGCACCGCGTCCGCAGCCTGCGTGAGCGAGGGCGCTGCTGAAGGCAAACTGCACACAGGCAGGCAGGAGACAGAAGAGGACGGCCGCGGTGAAGGAGGAGGTGAAGGAGGAGGAGGAGGAGGAGGAGGAGGAGGAGGAGGAGGAGGAGGAGGAGGAGGAGGAGGAGGAGGAGGAGGAGGAGGAGGAGGAGGGGGTTTCCTGACCCCGCCAGGTGGTCAGGGGAGAAGGAGGGACGAGGATCGAGGCTCGAGAGCAGGAGCAGCTTCGGAGCAGGATGCGCCTCGGACCGGGCCGCGCCGGCACACGGAGCCGGCATCGGAGCGGAGCGGCCGCGCCAGGACGCACAGCGGCACCACGCGAGCCTCATTCGGGCCGGGCGAAAGGGAGGGATAGCAAAGGGGGGTTTGAGAATCAGCTCACGTAGCTGACTCTCCCGGCGCCTCCCGGCGCCGGACGCGGCCATGCGTCGAGGAATGGGCCTTCCGGTGGGACAGAAAGCAGCTGCACGCAGCAAATTTCGTAACCCCCCTTTCCCAATTCCCCCCCTTTCGTCCGGCCCGACTCATGCCGCATGGGTCGCCGGAAGGTGGCAGTCCAGCCGGATCGAGCAGGCCAGAGCCAGGAGGCCAGAGGGTCGAGGCTCGAGAGGGTCGAGGTCCGAGGAGGCCCGGAAGCCCCCTATCGGGGCCTCGCGGAGGCCTCTGCCGACCTCGCGGAGGCCTGCCGGAGGCCCTGCGCTGGCCTCGCGGATAGATCCCCCCTCCCATGGGAGCCCCTGGCCGGCGGCGATTGATTTTCTGGTTTGGGGGAGTGCGCGGCGACATGGCGATCAAGGCCTCGCGGATCTCGAGCATGGAGCAGCCGGTCAGATCGATTGCGTTCATGGCCCTGGCGTCAATGATCATGAACTTGATCTTGAACTGCTGCTGGATGCGCAGCTGAACAGGGGGGAGCATCAGCAAGAGGAGCAGCAGGAGGACAAGGCACGAGGAGGGACGAGCTCGACAGGAACGACGACGACGACGACGTCGACGACCACGACCACGACCACGACCACGACCACGACCACGACAACTCAACATCTGGTTCTTCAGCGCAGAGAAATGCCTCTGCTGGGATTGCGACACACATTGGGAAGCTGAACGGAATTCCGAAAGCTAGTCAGGTCGCCAGACAAACCACGCATGCGGATCAAATCGACGGAACAGACTGCGAGAAGATGCAGAACAGAAGGAGGAGGAGGAGGAGGAGGAGGAGGAGGAGGAGGGAGGAGGAGGAAGAAGGAGGAGGAGGAGGAGAAGGGGGAGCCAGCTACACCCAGCGCCCCCATTCGACATTCCTACTACTTCAGTAACGCCACTCTGGAAACCCTGGATCCAAAAAGTGTGGACGAATTTGTTGCCGCATCTGTAATTGGAATTTGAACACTACGCCACAAGTTCAGAAACAGGGCATCCCTTTGCGGGCCTCGCTACAGTCAAACGTAACCAGCGCGACGGAAGCCATATGTGGTACCTCTTGGGCTGTCTTGAGGCTGTCACCGGCCACCTTTCTAGAGCGAAGATGATGCCACGATGCAAATGGCTCAGGGTTCGTCCCAGGATTCAAAAGTATCTAACGAGCATCGATTTTCTAGCCCGTGCAGAGAGCCCCAAGAGGCTCCCAAGAGGGCCCGAAGAGGCCCAGACGGCCCAAGAGGGCCCTAAGAAGGCCTCAGAGGAGCCCCAAGAGGGCCCCAAAAGGCTCCTAAGAGGGCCCAAGAGTCCCTAAACGGCCCCCAAGAGGGCCCCCAGAAGACTCCAAGAAGCCCCAGAAACGTCAAGTAACACCGTGGCTCCCAACGGCGAACAGTGACGTAACAAGCTCTGAACAACAAGGCTCCCCAGAGCGCGGCGACGTAAAAGGTTCTGAACAGCAAGACACCCAAGAGCGAGCGGCCACGCAGAAGTCTCCGAACACCAGGGCTCCCAACAGAGAGCGGTGACGCAACAAGCTCTTCACGCCAAGGCTCCCAAGAGCGAAGGGTGCCATGAGCCATCTCGGGCCTGCTCCTGCGGCGCTCTTTCCGCTCCCGTGCCGGCCCAGGTGACGGAAAGAGCGAGGTACGAGTGATGTAGGTTGAGTTGGGGCGAAGCCTTGTCGACAAGCATGAGACGAGCAGAAGCAGAAGCAGGAACGGGAAACTCCACCGTTTACCCACCTCCGTGTCTGCAGACAATAAGTATGGCAACTGTCCGCGGATCAACGGTATCCTCTCTGTCTCCAAGGGAAAGAACATCTTGAGCCAAAATAGCTACGGAGGGGGGGGAGAAAGAAGAAGAAGAAGAAGAGGTTCTCTCCTCCTGCTTCCTCATGATGTGTTCACCTTCTTCCTCCGCCTCCTCCTCCTCGTCCTCCTCCTCCTCTTCCCCTCCTCCTCCTCCTCCTCCTCCTCCTCCTCCTCCTCCTCCTCCTCCTCCTCCTCCTCCTCCCCCTTTCTCCCCCTCCACCTCCTCCTATCTCTCTCCTCGCCCTTCTCCCGTCTTCCTCCCTACTCCTTCCACCTCCCTCCTCCTGGACCCTCCAGAAGGTCGGAGAACAAACGTCGGGATCTGCAATAATGCCTTCCGAAATGTAGATCCGAACGAAAACCATCCACAAACAAGTACCACACACAACAGCAACAACAACAACAACAACAACAACATCATCATCATCATCATCATCATCATCATCATCATCATCATCATCATCATCATCATCAGCATCCTCATCAGCATCCTCATCATCATCATCATCAGCAGCATCAGCATCACCATCATCATCATCAGCATCGTCATCGTCAACGTCATCATCACCAACAACAATAACAGCAGCAGCAGCAGTAACAACCGCAGCAACAACAGCAACAACATCAACAACAACAGCAGCAGCAACAACAACAACCACAACAACAACAACCACAACAACAACCACAACAACAACAACAACAATAATCAGTTTGAGACTGCTCGTGCTTATCTGCTCGAATGTCCGTGAACGTGTGTTTCCCAAGCCCTCGATACCCGCCCTCTTCGTCTTCGATCGTACCCCTCTTTGGGGGTAAAGATTTCTTCCCTGCAGGCCGGGCCCCGGCAAGCGGCGGGGCGGCCGCGGACCGTCGGCCTGGCAAGCGGCAACGCTGATCGGCGGCAACCCGACCCCAAGCGGGACGGACAGGGGACCGACGACGACGACGACGACGACGACGACGACGACGACGACGACGACGACGACGACGACGACGACGACGACGACTACGAGCGAAAGCGAAAGCGAGAGCGACAGCGGGGCCACGAAGCGCAGGAAGGGGGCCACGAAGGGCGACAGCGGGGCCACGAAGGGCATGCGTATGGGGCCACGAAGGGCGCGAACGAGTGGGGGCCAGGAAGGGCAGATATTGCGGGGCCACAAGAGGCAACGACGGGGACACTGAGGGTAGCAACGGGGCCACGTAGGGCAGCGAGGGGGCCACAAAGAGCGACAGCGGGGCCACGAAAGGCATGCATATGGGGCCACGACGGGCGCGAACGAGCGGGGGCCACGAAGGACATACGTACATTGGGCCGCAGAGGGCAAGGATGGGGCCACTGAGGGCAGCAACGGGACCACGTCGGGCAGCGAGGGGGCCACGAAGGGCGACAGTGGGGCCACGAAGGGCATGCATATGGGGCCACGACGGGCGCGAACAAGCGAGGGCCACGAGGGGCATACATATATGGGGTCACGAAGGGCAGCGAGGGGGCCACGAATGGCTGCAACGGGGCCACGAAGGGCAGCGAGGGGGCCACGAAGAGCTGCAACGGGGCCACGAAGGCTGCAACAGGGCCACGAAGGGCAGCGAAGGGGCCCACGAAAGGCTGCAACGGGGCCACGAAGGGCAGCGAGGGGGCCACGAAGGGCTGCAACGGGGCCACGAAGGCTGCAACAGGGCCACGAAGGGCAGCGAGGGGCAACGAAGGGCAGCGAGGGGGCCACGAAGGACAGCGAGGAGGCCTCGAAGGGCTGCAACGGGGCCACGAAGGGCAGCGAGGGGGCCACGAAGGGCTGCAACGGGGCCACGAAAGGCAAGCGACGGGGCCACCAAGAGGTACAACGGAGCCACGAAGGGCAGCGGGATCCCGATTCCTAAATCAGCTGCGAGGGAGTCCTAGGCGTGAGCGCGACTCCTGGGTGCCTGAGTGTCGGGAGCGCGGCGCTTGAGTAAATTGCTGGAATTCCAACGCAAGAGCGCGACTCTGCAGTAAATTCTTAGCAAGTCTCCATCGAGAGCACGACTCCAGAGCGCCGAGAGAGCGATCCCTTACTAAAGTGCAAGGAAGCCCCAAGCGAGAGCGAGGTTCCTGAGTAAAATGCGAGAAAGTCTCGGGCGGGAGCGGGGGCCCTGGCTAAAGTGTGAGGAAGTTTCAAGCGGGAGCCGTTGTTGTTGTAATCTGGGGGCCAACATCCCAGTTAGAGCCCCGTGACTTACCCTTTAAAAGAACAGGGTGCGAGCCCCGGTGGAAGCATTCCAATTGAAAAAACACAGTGGTCACCGGAGGGGGATCAACAAAAATTATCATTCAGATATGAGAGTTCAACAACAACAACAACAACAACAACAACAACAACAATTACTAGCACGTGGGGACACTCCGTTCTCACCAGTGCCAGGGTTTTCATACGACGCCCGCCAATACCCCCACTTTGTGGGGGGGCCGGTTCAAGCTCTACCACATTTCCAAACGACTCTTCGCCACCACCCACACCCAGCTTCCCGCCCTATGACGTTCGGACACTTCACTTCGTGGCCTGCGGACGACCGTGGCTACTACACTGGCACATGGGTACAGTGACTTGTTGTGGTAACTTGTTGTGACGCATGTGTCCCGCATGGTATGTTTTGCAAGGGATTGTGGCCCCTGGCAGGCGCGCGAACGCCGTTGAAAGAGCTTGCGAAAGTAGCTCGCGCGAGCTCATGTAACATAAATGTTGAAAAACCATTGGTTTTATAATCGGACAGCGCGCGCGGGTGGAAATTTTGAAAATTCGTACAGATGTTTTTCGACAACCTACGGTGCGATTCGTATGATTTTATGTTGCGCGGTGCTAAAATTCCTAAGAAACCCAATGGTTTTTGAAGATTTCGGCGTGCGCGCGCGAAGAAAAAACGAATGTGTCCCGCATGGTATTATTTGACAGGGATGATGGCCCTGGCAGGTGCGCAACCGTTGTTGGAGAAGTTCGAAGCACGTGGAAAAGTTGCTCGCAAAAGCCCGTTTGACAGAAATGTTTAAAAAGTGTTGGGTTTCCTACAAATCCGCAAGAGCGCGCGGGATGAAATTTTGACACTTTTTTGAAAAACCATTGGTTTTTTTTTTATGTTTTTATGTTAAAATCGCTACGAACACTAAGGTTTTGGAAGGATTTCGTCTTGCGCGCGCGAATGTCCACTTTACCTTATTTT